GCCCCTGATAATCGCACGGCTCAGCTGGGATCGTTAGAGGCTTTTAAAAGAAAGAAAGAAAAAAAAAACCTCTGACGATCAGGCAACTCAGCTGGGATCATCAGAGGCTTTTAAAAGCTTTTTTTTTTTTTACAACCTATTCGGCCGAAGAGGTTGTAGAAAAAATGTTTTTAAAAGGAAAAAAAGGCTCTGACGATCAGGCAACTCAGCTGGGATCATCAGAGGCTTTTAAAAGAAAAAAAAGGCTCTGACGATTAGGCAACTCAGCTGGGATCATCAGAGGCTTTTAAAAGTATATTTTTTACAACCTCTTCAGCTAAAGAGGTTGTAGAAAAAAATACTTTAAAAGCCTCTGACGATCCCAGCTGAGTTGCCTGATCATCAGAGGCTTTTAAAAGTATATTTTTTACAACCTCTTTGGCCAAAGAGGTTGTAGAAAAAATGGTTTTAAAAGTTAAAAAAAAAAAGTTGGCCATGCCCACTCAGTCACATTACCCCCCTCCACCAAGCCACGCCCACAGAACCGGTAGTAATAAATTTTACATTTCACCACTGGTGTATGTTATTTGTTACTCCCTCCTCACTAATTTGAGAGTGAAGTTCAATATACATGGTACTAATTGTTCCAATCTGCTCCTTGCAATGACGGCCTTTGATTCACAAGTGATTACCTTCCAGATGTCTTGATTTTGAAGGCCGTCCCTTGTGCTCTCTGCTACTCTTCTGTATTTAGACCTAAGTAAATCCATGCCATGAAAAGCATGTGCTATTGCATAGACTGCATTATAGATGCTGTAGCTGTGGCCAGTTGTTTCAAATAAATGTGTAGGAAGCATTTTTAGATCTTCCCTCCCAGTACATGCTGCATCACTTTCCAATGATTCGTTACCTCCTGAAAAGGAGCAATCAAAACCTTGCTCCCAGAACTCTTTGAACAAACTATCTCGTTGGGTCTGGAATGGCTTGATGGCCCAAAGGAATTCATCAAACCTTGGCAATGTGTTGGAGTGTATAGCAAAGGAAATGGCTCCATCGAACAATTGCACATCTGAGGGCCGATGAGCATTTGTTAATGTTAGGTCTATTTGAGCTGTCAAAATCCACAGCTTTCCAAGGCTTTTGTCTATGTATCTCATGAATAGAAACAGAAGCATTGCAGTGCTGCTTTCCCCGTAGAAGACAAATGTATTGACTTTGGCGTCGACCAAAGAAATAGCGAAGCGCTGCATTGTATGGCCTTTAAAAATGAAGAAAAATGATTGCTTAGGAAATCTCTCCACAAAGGCAGCGCAGATCCTGTTCTCAGAAAGGAGCGGGTCCAGAACGTGGAGGAAATTGTCTCCGCTGTCATCATCCAGAATTAAGAGGCCAACCCAGGTCCATCCAAAATGCTTCAGCAACTGGATAATCCCCGCAACCTGAAGGCTTTCATTGGGAGCCATGCGATAAAAAGTAGCAGCCATCTTTGTCCCTTGCTTCTTGGGAGCAAATGAGCCATAAGCGAGCTAAAATACAATGTGCAGTTGGTTGCTTATCATTGGACTGTCTCTACTAATCTGAGAAAGGCATTGTTTCTTAAAGAACGTGCCAATACATACATTTTTTTCCAACCTGTTTCCTTTCATGGGCCTCCATTTTCCATTGTTAATGAAACTCTGAACATTATGGTTGATGTTCACTAAAAGCTAAATAAATGGAACTCTACCCTGTTTGTTTATTTCTTAGATTCATATCGTGCCTTGTCTTCAGGCATTGAAGAAGATACACATAACGCAAGAGCCATGGTGGTGCAACGGTTAGGATGCAGAATTGCAGGCTAATCCTGCTGACTGCCAACAGTTTGATTCTAACTTGCTCTGTTTCTTAATAGTTTTTAACTTCTATATGTATTTGTATTTATTATGGCTGTTCACCGCCCTGAGTCCTTCGGGAGTAGGGCGGTATACAAATATGAAAAATAAATAAATAAATAAATAAAGGTTGACTCAGCCTTCCATCCTTCCAAGGTCAGTAAAATGAGGACCCAGATTGTTGGGGGCAAGATGCTGACTCTGTAAACTGCTTAGAGAGGACTGTAAAGCACTATCAAGTAGTATACAAGTCTAAGTGCTATTGCTACTCTAAGCAACACACTATGTGTGGCTGCAAGAGTGTGATGGACACTGTCACAGTCAACATGCAACTAGATGAGCACCTTCAATTAAGGCAGTGGTGGGATTCAGCCAGTTCACACCACTTCGGGAGAACCGGTTGTTAACTTTCTGAACAGTTTGGCAAATTGGTTATTGGAAGAAATCATCAGGGCAGAGAACCGGTTGTTAAATTACTTGAATCCCACCACTGAATTAAGGGATACAATCAAGATCAAGTGAGGTACTAATAGCACTCTATAAAGCCTTGGTAGGACCACACCTTGAATACAGCATCCAGTTTTGGTCACCACACTATAAGAAAGATGTTGAGACTCTAGAAAGGGTGCAGAGAAGAGCAACCAGGATGATGAGGGGACTGGAGGCTAAAACATGCAATGAACGGTTGCAGGAACTGGGCATGGCTAGTCTACTGAAGAGAAGGACCAGGGGAGACAGGAGAGCAGTCTTCCAATATTTGAGGCGCTGCCACAGAGAGGAGGGGATCAAGCTATTTTCCAAGGTACCCGAAGGCCAGACAAGGAATAATGGATGGAAACTGAACAAGGAGAGATTCAACCTGGAAATAAGGAGAAATTTTCTGACAGTGAGAACAATCCACCCATGGAACAGAAGTTGCCTTCGGAAGTTGTGGGAGCTTCATCCCTGGAGGCTTTCAAGAAGAGATTGGACTGCCACTTGTCAGAAATGGTGTAGGGGGGTTGGATGAGAAGACCTACAAGGTCCCTTCCAACTCTGTTAATCTGTAAACCTGAAGTTCTCAGCTTCTGCTCCCTTTTTCAGAAACCATTTTTAACTGACAACTTTCAATGTAAGCCCCATCCCCAATCGGATAGGGCTTAAATCCAACTCCCAAATGTCATTGGGCCCTTTTGCTACATCATTAAAAGATACCCTACTTCCTACTTGATATAGAATTGTTCCCCGTTCCCTTCCATTTTGCCATATGGAAGAGTTTTCCTACATATCCATGCATATATCTTACCTGGGGGATTTTATAAAGGCTTATGATATCTGACATGAAGAATGAGATATCAGCACCAAATCCACCAATGATGGCCACAACGAGATTCTCATTGATAGCACATCTGTAGTTGACAAGCAACTGATCTGATCGGAAGAGCAGTTCCAACGTGGAACGGTAAGTCCACTGCGCATCAAAATAGTTGTCACAGATGAAAAACCCAAGGGTAAGGTTAGACAAGAGTCTTGGGTTTGAGTTGATCTGTTTCACCGCAAATACCAAACTCAGGGAGTGCTGATACAACTTTAAAACGGCTCTGAAAATGTAATTGAGGCATAAATGAAATACTGAGGGACTGAGGCAAGAAGAATAGTTTCCACGAAGCAACAACAACAAGCATAAAATGAAACATGCACATTGTGAGAAGCATCAGCTATAAAGACCATTGAGGAACATCTGGTAGATCATGAAACAGAAGTCAACAACTGGACTAGCTTGCAGGAAACTGTAGAATAGAATAACAGAGTTGGAAGGGACCTTGGAGGTCTTCTAGTCCAACCTCTTGCTTAGGCACTTAGAAACCCTACACCACTTCAGACCAATGGTTATCCAACATCTTTAAAACTTCCAGTGTTCGAGCATTCACAACTTCTGAAAGCAAGTTGTTCCACTGATTAATTGTTCTAACTGTCAGGAAATTTCTCCTTAGTTCAAGGTTGCTTCTCTCCTTGATTAATGTCCACCCATTGCTTCTTGTCCTGCCCTCAGGTGCTTTGGAGAATAGCTTGACTGCCTCTTCTTTGTGGCAACCCCTAAGATATTGGAACACTGCTATCATGTCTCCCCTAGTCCTTCTTTTCATTAAACTAGACATACCCAGTTCCTGCAACCATTCTTTACATATTTTAGCCTCCAGTCCCCTAATCATCTTTGTTGCTCTTCTCTGCACTCTTTCTAGAGTCTCAACATCTTTTTTACATCATGGCAACCAAAACTGGATGCAGTATTCCAAGTGTGGCCTTACCAAGGCATTATAAAGTGGTATTAACACTTCACAATTAAAATAAGGTATACGATATGACATAAAATTTAACACATAAAATACAAAATATGTATAAGTTAAAGAGCTTTTCTCTGCACTCTTTCTAGAGTCTTCACATTTTTTTTTACATTGTGGCGAACCAAAACTAGATGCACTTTTCACCAAAACTGTGAAGGGCAAGTCAGTTGTAGAGCTGGAGAACAGAAAGATTCTTCTTCTTATGATTAATGTGAGGTCCTGTTGATAATTTATTTGGAGTATGCAATTGGCAGACTTCGATGTGGACAACGAGACACTGATGGGCATAGTGGAATTTGAGTCCAAGGGAGGCAGTTGAAAAAAAAATGTGGTCAACCACTTCTCCAAAGTCACTGCTCTGTATTTGCAATTTTGTCTGAATTGCGAGGGTTTTTGGTCATTTTGTGCAAGGGTTGAATCAGCAGCCAGCAACCAGTTACTATCAGAGGTGGTATTCAGCTGATTCAGACCGGTTCGGGCTAACCGGTAGTAGCGACCTGCAGCTGGGCTGCCCACCCACGCCGACACTATGCCGTTCTATTTAGCCACATTTTCTAGCCATAAGCATGCATGGAAGCCACACGTGTAAGGAAAGCATTTTTGGTGCTGGGCGAACCGGTAGGTAAATTATGTGAATCCCAACCCTGATCACTATTGTTTCCCAACACTACACACAACACTTCTAATGCCCTGAATCATATCCATTGCGACCTTACCAGCTATTCTGTTACTATATAGGTTTTAATGATGTCGGGGGGAAAATCTGACCATGAGCATAATTGCAATTAATAATAATTGAAAAGACAGCACACTACAAAAGTCTCACTTTGAGTTTCAGAGGTTTATTGAATTTTAAGGTAAAATAGCAAACACTTACACAGAAATCACATTGCAATGAGGGTCAATTGGACAAGCAGTTCAAAAGGGATGGCTTGAGGCCAATTGGCCACTTCCACATCTCATCTTAGTCCTTTCATACCAGAAGACCATAGTCCCACATTGGCCACTTCCACATCTCATCTTAGTTCTTTTATACCGGAAGACCATAGTCCCACATGACTTTCTGGATTTTGCAATTCTGCTGTAACAACAGGGGTAGTTGCTACCCCCTTCAACCTAACTGTCACAACATTACAATTTTTATATAGGTGACCAACCTTAGTTCTTCATTTCCCACGATCTTAGCCCACCACAATGTGCCAGCTAAGCAGCTGTCCTGCTTGCAAGGCATAATTTCCACATACACAGCACTATTTCCACATACTTTGGGGGCACAGGCTCATCACACAGGCTACATTGATTTTTGTTTATATTCCAATCAACGTGGATCTGGGTAATGGATCCGCGACCCCCAGAACAACCTCATAACAGTGATTCCTCCAATATGACATATAAGACAAGATAAAAATGCAGGTTAAATATACCTTCAGGTAATACATGTAGGCAGGCTCGGGGCACAGGGCGTTGGGATAGGTACAGCATTAAAGGTATACAGATAGGGGACCCCTATTTGATAGGCTCTCACAGTGATCAGTCAACCTGATCCACAAAAACATAATAAAATTGAGATTCCAGTAAGATTATTTGAAGCTGATTCCAAAAGATTCTTTGAAGCTGATACACCGTCGAAACAACGTCTGATTACAAATAGAGCTCTTAGAGACAAAGAGGAGATAACAATGAAAATAACAGTGAATGATTAATTCAACCGGGGGAAAATACATTAAGAGAGTTGGAAGATATGTCTGAAAGGGAGACAGGGGCCTGGGTAGAAATTTTGGAAACTAGGCAGTGGGAGAGGGTAGAGGTGGGAGAAATACCTAGATTGAACAGTAAAGAAGCAGATGCAGACAGAGATAAAGGGAGGAATTTGGGAGGCAAGTAAAAAAAAAAAGCATAGCAATTAAAGTATTGAAACAGGCAAGAGACGATGGATAGATGATTCTTCTTTGTTGTTGTTCTGATTTGCTTTTCCTTTTCTCTCTCTTTCTTTTAAAGCATAGCAATTAAAGTATTGAAGCAGGCAAGAGACGATAGATAGATGACTTTTCCTTTTTGTTGTTCTGATTTGCTTTTCCTCTCCTCTATCTCTCTTCTCTTTTCTTTCTTTTTTTGAAGGTAGGTGACATGATTAGAAATTAGATAGGATAGAAAGAAAATGTTTTTAAATCAAGGGTGACATGATTAAAAGCTAGAATAAGTGATAGAAATAAGAGAAAGGGGAATATTAGTGTATACATTTTTATATAATAAAATAAAAATTTATTTATTTATTTATTCAATTTATATACCGCCCTTCTCCTAGTGGACTCAGGGCAGTGCACAGCCAAAACTAAAATACATAACAATACAAAATTTAAAATTAATTAAAAGAATTATATACTTTGGCCCGAATTAAAACAATGTGAATTAAAACCCATTAACAAATTAAAACTAAACAATTAATAACCATTAAAAACTAAAAAACTAAAAAACTAAAATAGAAAACATGGAATAATTGAATAATGAGAGATTGCAACCTAAGATAAATGCGTATTATTATTAGAAAAACATAAGTTGATTGAATGTAATAATTATGAGTAACTTTATTAGAATGTATGAATGTATGTATAGAATGTATTAGAATTTATTAGAACCCAGGGACCACACTGTTTGATATATTTGTAAAAAAAAATAAAAAACTTGGGGAAAAATACAAACAAAGCTCTTAAAAATGGGTGTGAAAACTTGCAATATTCTCTGCTTAGTTTACCAGAACATCCTTGAATCTTTTTGTTTTCTTTCATTTTGTTTTGCAGTTTCAAACGACATGTGGAGAGGAAGGAAAAAAGAACAAGAGAATTTCTTACAGGGGTGGTATAAATGAATTCTGCGAAGGATGCTCATCAAAAGAATGTTGCTTTAGTACGTAGGCAATCTGAGCTGTAATCCCGCCGATGAGGAACTTTCCTGGTTTATACCACTCATGAAGGATAGGAGAGAGATCACTTCCGGAGCAAGATGCGGCATCTGTCTGGCACTTCATGTCAATCAGCAACCACAGTATGATCGCTACCCTCAGCATGGTCTCTAGAAGAGGCTTCCTTGTGTCTAGCTACAATCCCAGGGTTACATTTGGTGAGACTATTTTCCACCAACTACAACATCTAAGGACATGTTCAGCTAACACATGCAACTGTATCAGTTCTCTCATTCAATGGGTTCACATCAAAAAGATTAGCAAAGTATGATGGAGAAGCACGCTCCAGTCAACGAAAACCACGAGCAAAGAGATAAGAACTCGCCTGCCTGTTTTCTCTTGGTTACAGAAGCAAAAGTTTTTATAAACTCTTCAAGACTGATTTACGAATTATTTCCTGGAAAGCTGTGGCAGCTGTGTCATAAAGCTACAATGATAGTCATTTAGGTTAATTGCCAATAGACAGACAGTCACCTCTGCAATGGAACCTCCTGGGTTTGGAGAGCTATATTACACCTTTTGAGACGACCATCTTTATCAGCTCTTTAAATAGCTGCCACCTAAAACAATGTTATATAATTATTTCTGTAAACTTAACCATTCCCCATGGGATCCTTCACAAAATAAATGCTTATGATCGGTAGCTTCTCTAAATATTTCTCTGCAGGCCATCACCGAACAGAATTAACCTGAAAAGAGTCACTGAAAATGCGGCTGTAGGATTCCTTACTCTTCTGTAAAAAATATTGATACAAAGTGCAAAATTAGTGTATGTGCTATACACCTTGTTTGTCTTGGTTTACCTTTTCCTTGGCACTTATTTTTTCTTGAAGATCTATCCTACCTGTCCTCCAAAGTCTTGAAGGAGCTTTCCTGGTGCGCTATCTTTGAACTCTATTAAGTCCCCCACTAAGTCATAAGGTGGAGTTCAACCTGGATTTCCTTGGCCTTAGTCATAGTTAAGAAGTCATACATAATTCTATAGCTTCACTATACCTTAGGTCAGGGATGTCAAATTCAAGGCCCATGGACCACAGCCAGCCCGCAATGTGCTCAGATTCGGCCCATGGAGCTGTCGTGGAAAATGTAAGGGGCTGTTCTGTGTCGCCTTGGTGAGTCACTTTGGCCCAGTCTATCTGTATCACTTCAGCTCAGTCTACCTGTGTGGCTTCGGCCCGGTCTACCCAATGCAAAAAAGAAACATTTGGGGAGTGGTGTCAAGCTGGCCACACCCACCCAGTCAGCCACACCTGCCCAGACCCTTCAAGGTCAACCATAGCCCTGATGCGGCCCTCAGTGAAATTGAGTTTGACACCCCTGCTTTAGGAAAACAGAGATCATTTATCCACCCAATTTTTCTGGTGATCTTTGAACATTCCTTGAAGTTCAACTGTATTTGTCAGGCCTGGAGCCATTTTCTCCTAGCACCTTCAGGGTTGCCACAGTGGAGATGAGTCGAGTTGTGGGAACGGGAGGGAGGAGGTAGAGATAGCAAGGGGATTGTAACCAAAATAAAATTCTTTCCTCTGAGAACCAAGGACGTTCCCACCAGGTGTGTGTCAAGATTCGGTGTCGTCTCAAATAAACTGCATTTCAAACAAATAGTCCTTGATCAAAATCTTTCATTTATTAGGCACAACAATTGAAAACTGCGACTCAGTTGCAGCCAATACTGACTTCCTGGTCCAAACCCTCCCTTTCCTTTCCCCACTGCTCTGCTTCTCATTGGCCATCTTCCAAGTCACTCTGCTGTTATCTACTACTTCAGCTCAAAGGAATTTCCCCCCTCCCAACCCATCTCCTAGGGGATAGTATCTCCAGGGAAAATAAGTAGGTGAAAAGTCAAGCGTCCTCTTGCCAGATGCCCCCACCTTCTCCTTCTTATGTTACCACTGGAGTGAATGCAGCTTGGAGTGCTGACAGTGCGAGGAGGTGGCCCTTGGACTGTGACCTGATTGGACCATGTGATGGACTGCATGGGCAGGGGGAAGAAAACTATACTTTTAACTAGGGGGAAACCCGAGGGGGGTTTATAGTCGGGTTTCCCCAGATGTACCAATATGACATGCCTAATAAATCTATACTTTGAGGAATATGCCTGCCTTGGAGTTTTGATTCCATTGGGTGTATTACTTGGAACCCTGAGAGTATTATTGTTTTGGATAGGAAGGTTGTGCAGAGAGTGGTGAGGACAGCAGAAAAGATGATTGGAAGTCAACTTCCTTCTATTCAGGATATGGCATATAAGCAATGCTTGACCAGGGTCCTCAGGGACAAAATGAGACAATTGAACATGACTGCCTTAACACACCCAGTTCTTCTTCTCGGGCATTCCACCATGGCTGACCTAACATGGGCACTTTTACTCAGCTGGATCTCTACTGGCATTCCTCTCCCACCATTGGTCTACCAGCATTCTTGTCCCGCCCCTTTATCCCGGGTGTTTCATGGAAGATTACTTTTCCATGGCCATTTGGCTGTGTGGGACATTTAAATGAGCATCTGGACAGCCAGTCTGCACACCCAGAGTTGGGCAGCCTCTCGCATGGGGAAGTGGGGGACGTTGCTTTGATGTTCACGCAAGAAGAGGAGGAAAAAAGCGGTCCATAGCGGGAATGTCAGGCCTTTCTAATCTCCCCCCTGGCTCAAGTTGATGAAGGGAGAAGAACTTGTGGCTCAGAGGTTAATATAACTGCCTAACATGCAGGCAGCCCAACTTCGAATCCAAGTAAGGGTATGGCTAACTGATGACAGCTAAATAGCTTGAAATAGATCTATACTAGTCTCCCTTTATTTATTTATCAGCAAAATATAAATTATATATTTATAATATATGCAAGTTTTGGTGTATTCGGGTCTTTTCCAGTGTAAGATTGAGAGTATCTTGGCGACGTTTCGACGAGGTCACCAAGATACTCTCAATTTTACACGGGAAAAGACCCAAATACACCAAAACTTGCATACCATTTTTGGGAAAACATGGTAGTACTATTGTCTTTCTTTGTCCTAGCCCCATAAGAACTCTTTGCAAGGGGGTCTTTTTCATTTTTCCTCAACCAAAGTTGCCAAAGGAGGAGCAACAAGAGACAAAAGTCACAAGGGACAGTCAAAAGGGGTCATGTTGGTGGGGGGTTCAGTGGGTTAACATGACTCTGTGGTCATTGAATGGAGGCTCCTGAATTCTGATCACATGATCCTGGGTTGTGCAATGACCATAACTTTGAGCATGGGTCATTCATTCAACACCATCATTACTCCAAACAGTTGCTGAATGAATGGCCATGTACTGAGAATTATCTGGATGTCATAACCATAGACAGAGAAATGTGTATTGTAAATTTACTTTAGGAATTTATTTGTAACTGCTGCTAAGAATTTTCTTTTTATAACATTTCCCCCACTTCCCTTACTTCCTTTTTTCTCTTCTCTGCTTCAGGATGATAAAAGCTAAAATATATTACCCAGATAGTACACATTCTTTTCAGTTACCAAATGCATCTTTTTTGAAGAAGATCCAATTGGCTATGGAAATAATCAGAACTAAATAAGAAAACACTTGATTAAAAGCAGAATCACTCATTATACAGTGAAAGATTTTATTTTCCATTTTCGTTCAAAAGGAGGAGCCACGGTGGCGAAGTAATTAGAGTGCAGTGTTGCAAGCTAACTCTGCTGATGGCCAGCAGTTCGATCCTGACCAGCTTAAAGTTGACTCAGCCTTCGATCCTTCCGAGGTCGGTAAAATGAGGATCCAGATGGTGTGAGCAATATATTGACTCTGTAAACTGCTTAGAGAGGGCTGTAAAGCACTATGAAGTGGTATATAAGTCTAAATGCGTTGACTATTTCTATTGCTATAAGAGTGTGACAAACACTGTTATAATGTTATACATAAAAAATAGTGGTAAAATAGATGCAACTAATAAGACTTGCTTTATTCTTAGAAAAGGATCACCATTTCTGTTTCACACTAGAAATATAGGCAGCCACCATTTAATAGTCAGAAATGCTTTTTCTTTACAAGTTGCTCTTTGCTGTTGAGGTCAGGTCTCAGCAAAATAATGTAGCATTTGGGGAAGAAAATACATCCCAATAATCCAGCACTAGAAGCTAAGATGGAGAAGATCTCCACAGCTACCATATACTTTCCTTTGGTGCTCAAATAGGTGGGAACAAAGGACAACCAAACACTGCAAAACATCAGCATGCTAAAAGTGATGAACTTGGCTTCATTGAATGTGTCTGGCAGGTTCCTAGCCAGGAAAGCCACCATGAAGCTGACCAGAGACAGAAATCCCATGTAGGCCAAGACAAGATAAAACATCACAACAGACCCTTCATTACATTCTGCTATGATCTCTTCAGTCATTGATTTCATGTTAAGTTCTGGAAAGGGGGGAGAAGTGATCATCCATGCCAGACAAATGCCTGCTTGAATGAAGGAGCCTGAAAAAACTATTAAGAAGGACAGTCTTTTCCCCAACCATTTTCTCATGCTGGACCCTGGTTTGGTGGCCATGAAAGCTGCAATGACCATGATGGTTTTGGCCAACACAGAAGAAATGGCCAAAGAGAAGATAAGGCCAAACATGGATTGTCGAAGGAAGCAAATCAGTTTAAGAGGTTTCCCAACAAAGAGGAAAGAGCAGAGGAAGCAAAGCAGAAGGGAGATAAGGAGGGTGTAGGTGAGGTCCTTGTTGTTAGCTTTAACCATAGGGGTGTCTTTATACTTAATAAATATTCCAAGTATGAGCATGGTAATGACTGAAAATAAAACAGCAACCACAACTAAACTGATCCCCAAAGGTTCTTCAAAAGTTAGAAAAGTTACGATTTTGGGGATGCATCGAACTTTGTCCTTACTTGGATATTGGTCTTCTGGACATTCAGAACAGGCAATCATGTCTGCAAGTAAGAGAGAGGCTATGAAACATGGAATCTAATCATCATGATTGATGCAGCACCAAGTGAATAATTAGATTCGATCAATACTTTTCAGACTTAACCACACAAAGTCTACCCTTTAAACCTCAGAATTTTGGTTTCAGAATTCTCAGATTTGAATCCTTCCCCCCGTTAAAGTTGTTAACTTTAAAAAGGGCT